ATGAAGGGTTTGATTTAAACGTTCCAGTTGCTGACTTTAGATCTCTGCATTGACAGTACGCTGTGGATTGAGGAGTTCGAAATGAATTACTCTTTTGATGTCCATCCAAATGCAAAGCACCACTTTCTGCGGATGGAGCCCATGTTTTGGGGTCGGAAATGTGTTTTGTCTAGAACTAAGCCATTGTTTTTGGTGCTTAATATTTGCAGAGAGAATCCATTTTTCATCACCGATGACAATTCTGTCCAAAAACTGTTCACGCGCATTACGCGCCAGAAGAGACGAAGCAACGTTCACACGTTGGAAACGATGATCATCGGAAATTTCGTGAGGCACCCAAGCACCTTCTTTAAGGATAAACTTCTTTCATATTCTTTGTAGCTACAGAGGCGTTGTTTCTCTTCTTGTATTCAAACAGCATTACATGCCGAATACGTGTGTCATCATTATCAGGGATTAGAGTATACTAAAGTTTACACCTTATATAGGCTACACTAACGTGACGTTCAGGCGGTTCGTTTTCTGATGTGAGCCTGTATGTTTTTAATGTCAGTTGAGAACTGTGATATTGGAACAACTAGAAAGTAGTATTACCTTTTCCTAAAAGGAAAAACTAAAATGCAAAATGATGTTATGCAAATTGTGAGTAATATTTCGAAATTAGTAATAGAACAATGAAAACACGGTTCTTGTTTTAAGTTTTATGAAGAATTTGCAGTTATAATAATAACGGTTAAAATATCACATGATACAAGCTCATTTCAACAGTGCAAACGTTTCACATTATAATAAAAAACATTTCAAGAATATATGAAATGCATTTCTAGAAGTCAATCATTCTAATTTATTCTATGTAAACTCATATACCTGTATATGGGTAGAACATTACAATCGTATCAAAAATTTCATAGTGATATAAAAATCCTTATCGTTATCATTCTTTGTAATTAGATGCTACATTTCTCCGGCACATGTAGCATTTCGATTATTTTATTTTATCTGATCCACGTGGATCGAACGTATGTTATGGAACACTAGAAGAAATAAAATAAACTATACAAATGTGACAACAGTCGTTTTTAATTTTTCACTTTGTTGTTATTTTAGGATGAAGAAATAAAATAAACTATATAAATGTGACAACAGTCGTTTTTAATTTTTCACTTTGTTGTTATTTTAGGATGAAGAAATAAAATAAACTATACAAATGTGACAACAAATGTTATTTTAGGATTAATGGTGAATATAGAGTTTGTGTGTATCTTTTTAACAAATAAAATTGTCATTTGCCGCTGATGTTTAGTTTATCTCCGCATGTTGTCACATGCACATCACCAGAACTTTTGTTTTGTACAATATTCTAGCGCGTTAAAACTACGGAAGCCTGGTTCTAAATTATTTGGGTACGTACGTTAAAGCTTGCTTGTATTTACATCAGTACAACGCTTTTGACAAGTACGTCATTACGTGATACAATGCTCACCGAAGGCAAACATATGCACGCAAAAAAAATCACAATAGCTCAACGCTCTTACCATGTCTTATTACTTCCTTTTTTTCTCACGTAGCCTGTTAACGTAATGATGCACCTTGTTTAGTCGAATAATAAATATAATGCATGAAATGTAAAGCATATAAACAAGTCCCACTTCAACACCTCGTCATCTACTACTAACGTGATTTTTTATAGCATCATGATATAATCTGATTTATTCTTAAGTCAGATGTTGGTAGAGAACTGTACATGTCACAGAGAAGAAGCTACCGTTATACTCTTCCCTTACAATCCTAACAAGATTTAGCATTTAACGCCAAAGCTATTGAAACAAGAGAAGGTAAGAATTCTTTTTTTTTTTTTGCACATTCGTTAAGTTGAGATTGATATCGTAGGTGTAGGCTGAAAATTAATATAATAGTGTTTGAATATTAAGTAAATTAAGTTTCTTTAACGTACATAACTGAAAACAGTAATGCGTGAAAAACGAATACCCGCTGGTATCTCACCAAGAAATCACCCACTGCTGTACCTTTATTCACCAGGGTTGAAACCCAAGCAACTTGAGTGGGCGGAGTTACCAACAGGCACCTTTCCTTGGAACGGCCTTCGTAAGTTTTTTTATTACCACCGACAGAGAGCCCGCAAAAATGCGCTGTATGGTAAAAGTATCTCTTGTTCGTCTGACGATACCTTTCGTTGCGGTGGTGCTCTGTTTTATTATTTTGATATTTAAGTTTGTTTTGGGAGGGAGTTAATATTAAATAAATAGAATATTCCAAACAAGTATCACAAAAATATGTTTACTATATAGGTAGTCAAAAAACCACTTCCTCACTTTTATCATACAAACAGAATTACTTATGAAATTAAGTTTGCTGCATATGCAAATAATAATTGTTTTTTGTGACATACATATATTATTTTTTATATAAAAAATGTCGTAATAAAGCCAGAGATTTATAGATTATAACTGTTTGCAACATACAATAATGTTTTAAAGAAACTGGGCAGATGTTTTAGATTTACACATACATAATTCCTCAATGTATACGTGAACAATGTTTTATACGAGGACAATAACACTTACAGCTTTCTGTCTTATAGCCTTTATGAATCGATACTATTAAACCTTAGAATTCGCAGAGTTCGACAAGAACCTGTAAAAAATAGTTCTATATCTTTGATTACAAGGCATTTAAAATGTGTATCTTAAAGCCTTTACTTGTAGTGTTCAATTCATTAATTGTCCTCATATTATAAGTTTGTCCTTTTGCAATATCTATCATACGTTCATAAACATAACGATGAATAATAGTTCTGAGTAGGTTGTATATTTTTATAGTTAAATCTTGGGCTACCGTGAGTATATAACGAGAACGAAGCAAACATCTAATTACGCCTTATTTAGTAAACAGTTAGCCTCCAGCACCAAAATGAGTATTTGTATACCTTAAAAACGTTTGTGAGTCACCTATAGGTTGATTAAGTCACAAGACATAGCCACTTAAATCTTGAAATGATAGAGTAAATTCACTTAACGTAAAGCCTAAGATACAGTGTATTCAGACACTGGTCGAAACAGCACCATATTGTATTTATTGTACTAAGTTACCATATTGGTAGTTACCGGACTGATCGAAATAATACCATATAGATAATTGCACACAATATAAAATCAGAACTCCCTTTTTAAAAATCTGAAGTATGAAAATAGATGTCCTAACGCCTATATTGTTTACAATATTCACAACTCTTAATGACATACAATATTTCTTAGTGTGCAATAGCTGTGTGGATCTTGTTTCATTTGCAATAAATGTGTTTCAGTCGTTATTGTTACTCCGAGAAAATCCATTTGAATGAGGTTTTGATATTTTATTTTTAAATAGTTTAAAACAAAATTAAAAACATATAATTTATCTTTAAATGTTATAATTCTGACCATATGCTCTAATGTCAACTGAAAACAGTAACACTTATCTTTGTTTAAATTTGTATGATAGATAGTCTATTCTATTGCTCAACTACCTCTAAATCAGAGAAATATTATGGAATGACTTTTGTTTTTAAATTTTTTTCTTTGAATATTGTCAATTTATTTTTGTTGTTTCAAATAGGTTTTCATGAAATGTTTAATATCCATAAAAATAATCCATTCCTGATATATCTTATCATTCATGTAGTTACAACATGAGGAGGACCTCGAGGGAAGGGGTTGAAAAGTTTCGTGTTGACTAAATAATCCATATTTTGGATCCCAGTTTGCATCTGGATATTTTTCTAATTGATTTTCATGAATTATCTTAATAGATATAAAAAAAATATAAATAACTAAAAATACTGTGAGACTAACAATGTGAAAAGTTGTGTTTCACAAATAAAATTCTTGTAGGTAATTATAGTATTTTGGCTACTTGTGTAATAAAGTTAAAATCATAAATAATATTCAACGTTAAACTGGCACACAATCTTAATTATGTACCAGTTTAACGTTGAATATTATTTATGATTCTTGTAGGTAATTTATTTGCTATTTAAGCAATAAAAAACTCCAACCAAAGGCTTTCTTATATTATCACTGATCACCAAATCAGACTTTTTACCCTGTGTTTGCGTGATTTTTACTTTATCTTTACCAGAAGGAATTGCTCCAACAATCCAAAATAAATTGTTAACAAATACAATATATCCTTTAATATTCATATAATAATAGTTATCATTCATATTTAGGTTACCCATGTTATTGTTTATTAAAATACAAGTTGCAACTCAAAGATCAAACTTAGTTCTACTGTATTTTCTTTGATCATCTGTATTTCGATATAACGCCTAGTCTCTTCCCCCACTTTATGAATAAATAATAAGGAAAATTAATTTATGTGATGACTGGTGATGAATCTCTGTGGTGGTATATCTCATCAAGATCAATAACAAGTTTTGAAACTGCAATCGTAATGCTCGCTTTAATCGTTATATTCTTAAAACTGTAATTCATGCTATAAAAATTGTTATATCACGTAGTTCAACAAGACTGGTTATTGTCTTATGCTCGACATTATAAGATAAGCATCTGTTACTTATTATGTTCTAAAGGAACTTGATAATATCATAAATAGTAAAAATGTTCATGTTATAGGAAAGTGTGGTTTTAGAATGTGGGCAGATAGATTAAAACTACCCTGCATTTGCTCATAAAATTGCTAGTATAATAGAATATAGCATAATAATAATGACTAGCTGGATCTTATTTCTGTCTTAATTTTTATTTTGCTTGGCCTCTTACTTCACAACCATAAGAAATAAGTTCACAGTATTATTTATATCGTTTTGTAACTTATAACAATGAATACAATTAACTGGAAAGGTCTTGTAATATAATACTCTTATCTAAAAATAATAATAAATCATTTTGAAATTAAATACTTTTACAGTTGTATTCAAGTTTATTTACTAACGATTATGTTATTTTGTTGTCTTTTTTTTTTTGTCTGTTTTCCTGCAGAAGTCGCTGGTTCTCCTGAAATCCCGAAAACAAAGGTGTGTATTTTTATTAGTATTCGTAATATTTTTTTTTTTTGCTTATGTACACAAAAACATGATATGTCGTAATAAAACGTGTATCCTCTAAAGAAATAATAAAAGCATGCTAGATACGATTTGTTAAAGAAGTATCGCCTATCCCATTGATATTCTCGTTGAGATCTGGGTAAAGCGTCTGAAAAAAAAGAGAGTCTCATTTATTCTAGATTGCTGTTGTTTAACAGAACGTCCACACATTTTTATGGCATTATCTATAAAATAAAAATTATTCATATATCAAAAAGCTGCGAACTCGGATACGCATCATGCTAATTGAGAATCAGTCAATCCGATACAAAAATCTTCGCCAAAATACAGCACTAGGGCAGTATACTATAAAGGGACTTTATTTTTTAAAATACACAAACGTATAATTCTACATGAATAAATAAGGGTGATTCTGCTTTCAGTTTGAAAATAAAACTGAGATTTTTACTCTTAATGTTATTTCAAACTTGAAAAGTTAATTTTCGAATCATAGAAGAACTAGTGTCTGTTTAACTTAAAACATTGAAAGGAATGCTAGCTTTAGTTATTTGTTGAAGTATTAATTTATCAACTGCTTAAATACATTCACTTAATTGTATTTTGCTCTGATTTTTTAACAATATTCCAAAATTGACTTTTGTGAAATCTTAGTTTATTAAATGCATTTCGTTTCGCCTCGGACGGGAATCATCATACAGACCCGTATGTGTTGAATTATGTCACCGAATTATTAGTGCCATGAATGGTAACAAGATTATTTAGAAAAAAAATCAATTAATGTTCTTTCTCGTATTTTACACTGATTCTAGTACCTGAACGTTGTTGTTAAGTTAACCAAAAATAGGTCTTTTTTATTTAGCTTCATTGAATATTATTTCAATAATTTATGTCGCGGTATTAGTCTTACGACATTTGTTTTCATATAATACAACAAAATCGTAAGTTTCAAGACAAGTTATGTAATTTCTATACTGCATTCACATGGTTGAATTATAACAACGCGAGTAAACGCACTTGAATCAGTACTAAACTGTTAAACGAAGATTGAAGAAAATAGTTACAACGCGAGTAAACGCACTTGAATCAGTACTAAACTGTTAAACGAAGATTGAAGAAAATAGTTCTTGGTCTTTCCGTAAAAGAGCTTTATTAGTCTCTATGGTTGTTGATGACGAGACACTTTTCACATGTTTTTAAGAGAGAAAACGGCATTTTATTACAGAAAAAATATTTGATCTATACCAATTTCCTTATAGAACTTGGAGTTAGATACAGAAAACTTCCGTAATGAGATCTAAAATGTGTGAACCTGAAAGTTCTTATTTCTTTTTCAATCAAGACACCAACGTCACCGATAAAGAGACTAAGCCATTCACCCAAAAAGGCACCTCTGCGGAATGGTATTCCTTCTCCAACTAAATTTCCACAAAGTAAGTGAGTGAGAATACTGAAAATTGTTGACTCTTTGATTGCCATCCTAAGTAGTAATGTATCCACAGGTTTTGGGCACATCAATTGAAGAAAATCGTCAAATTACATTTAAAAAAAATTTAAATACAATAATTTTTATTTTTTCTTAGTTTAAAGCTTGCAAGAAATATGAGAACACTTGTCACTAACTGTAGAAATACCATACTTAAAAATACAGAAAAATAAAGTAATATACAGATGTGCCGTCCGAGCGCACAACTCGACTCTTCAGGTCGTTGTTAAATTTTGTTTGTTTGACAGGTCTTTTTCTGGGTTATAACAGTCTGTAGTAGCGACAACTGATTAATCTCGACATTTTAGGTAACTTCTGTTTCCTGTCTTCAGGTCTTCAACTGTCGCTACTAAAGGTTGTTGTTATCCAGAAAGAAATTTCGTCAGACATCACAGATACTCAACCTAAACCTTCCATTAAGTTTTGTTTAGCGCAAAGCTTCACAAAGGTCTTTAACATGACAGACTGGAGAGAAAGCAGCTAGTCCACAGAGCCCACCGGCAATTTTTGGAATACTCTTAAGTAATAGAACAGTAGGAACTGAGCGCCACTCTTAAAATGCACTCAAGACCACAAAGTTGCGGAATTCGATTTTTTCATCAACGTGAAAACTGAATCCTAAGCTCACAGTCTGGACACGCTAAGCACTAAACCATGCCCAGCCGTATTGTTTTATTTCTAAAAGTAAAGCAGTACGTAACATTGACCGAACTGCTAATGAAACTCATACTCAACCCCCTCCCTCTTGTAGCTTAGCGGTAGTCTGAGGGCTCATACCGCTAAAAACCGGGTTTCGATAGTTGTGGTGGGCACAGCACAGGTAGCCCATTGTGTAGTTTTGCGCTTAATAACAAAAAATTAAATCCACAAGTAATATTTCAAAGTCATAAAAACGTATTCATTTTATCCGAAAAAGAGTGCTATCACTTGTAAACATGTTTATCAGTGTTTCAATTAAATGGACATAATCTGACTGGATATTACATCTTGATATTGTCTTTGGAGGGGTGCCAACCTTTTTTTTTCTTGTAATATGTTTTTTACGAGTATGTGTATAACTATACATTCCTAAAAGCCCCCCAGTGGCACAGCGGTATGTCTGCGGACTTACAACGCTAGAAACCGGGTTTCGATACCCGTGGTGGCCAGAGCACAGATAGCCCATTGTGTAGCTTTATGCATAATTCCAACCAAACAAACAAAACATTCCTAAAATATTAGTACATTTTGTAGTACATGCCCTTGAATATTAACGTTTTCTCCTTTATGTTTATTGTTTGGAAAATATTGTCGGAAGAATCATTATTTTCTTAGCATTATCAGAACTCCTTTAATTTTCAAAAATGTTGCTAGTGTTAAAATCATATTTTCAATGCTTTGATAACAAAATAATTAAAATTTGTTAATTTAAAAGGGGGAATGGGGATCGTCAACAGTACTTATCAATTTTATTAGATTCAAAATAGGGATTTTTGTAGTCTGAGAAAATAATTTAGACACTATTTCCAGCCTGGTTTGTTTGCTTTTTCAGAGTCCCTAGTTGTAGGCTTAAAAATCTAATCTTTGCATTTTTGATTCAACTTGTTCTTGTACCTTTTGGACGATCCATATTCTCCTTTTTAAATTAATTATTTCTAATTATCTTGTTTCTTAAGTTTTTATATGTCCATTTATGGAGAATAAATTTTAAGCTACTTATGCATAAGCATTAATCTGAATGTTACATGTTTTTCAACAGTTTACTGCTGCATTGGCTGTTTTTCCCACCCAACCATTATTTACTGAGCCAGGTGGTTTTGTGCTTGCGATTTCGTGTAAACACTGTTTAACAAGCGTAGAGTACAAAAGAAGCCGTTCACAACAACATCGCTTGTATTATGTATTTTTAGCCACATAAATCATGTTTCAATGAAAAATAATCAACTTTTTAAACAGGTCATGCACATTGGCAACGTTTTGTCATGATATAAAAGACTGTTTAGTATAGATATTATTGATTAATTTATTTTGTGAGTGAATATTTGATGATTGTTTGGTTTTGTTCATAACAAGAGAGGTAGAAGCACTTATTTTAAAGTAAATGTGGTGACAAGTTTAGTTACGTAAATTTTAAAAATCGTACGTTATGTTTTATAACTCATGGGTGTCGAGATTATAGAACGTTGCGTGAAAGTTATTAATGCCGAGGATATAGCAAACAGACGATTTAGTAATAAACATAGAAATATTGTGAGATGAGCGGGAAAAATAGACAAACAATGACAGAACAGACGAGAAGTAAACTGAAGTTACAAGAAAGAATCCGGCCAGTCGTAGGAGTGGAAGGCCTAACGATTAATATAGGCCTAATGGTTGATATATTAGAGTGAGACTAACGGTGTTGAAAGAGATAAGAAGAATAGTATATTTAGTCAAAGAGAGTTGTAAAGTAATTGAACTAGCTTCAGTGGACTTTGACAAATAGACAGACGATTCTCGGAAATACGAAGAGAGAAAAAAGGAGTAGACGATTTTAGAAGTATAGGATACAACTGTGGTAACTCGATGATAAAGTAAGTGAACTATACTCGGATATTTTGGCGATAGTAATAGAGAAAAATAGCTCGGCTTGTCAACTAAAATTCTAAAGCATGTGAATAGGTCTAAGTGAATGGTGAATAGGCCTTTTGACAAGAAGAAGAGAACTATATAGTGTTTATGACATACCTATGACCTCCATAGTGTAAATAATTTGTTGTACATACGTTTAACTAGTTCTGAATATATATATTATTTTGAAAACAAGTGGAGTGAATGCTGTTCGTTTATTTTTTAATTTATCACAAACAAGTCACAGTCACCTACTGTAGAAGAATCCTAAGCCCAACAACAACAACATACCCATATATTTACTTACCATATATACAGACTATAAAAATTAAGTTTACTGACATCTGTCTAGGTCTTGGTGTAAAATACCCAGCCAATTTTGTTGTAGTCTTGTGAAACATGAATAATAATAATAATAATGTTTGTTTGTTTGCTTGTTTGTTTGTAGTTAAGCAGAAGGCTACCTGAGAAATCTACTATGGTAATCATTTAATGTTAGAAAACTCAATGAAATAGTCACAGAAAACCACGTAGAGACAAAGTACAATAGCAAACTCGAGAAATGATCAATCCTCAACGTGGCAGTTTCAAATTGATGCACTATAAATTGCACAAACTATTTTTCATTAGTAAAACACCGGATTTTTTTCAATGACGGAAAGTTAATTGCTTAGAGAAATTCTTTAGGGAGAAAAAACGCAAGTACTTAAATTAACTTTAAAACTATCTTATGATATACTCAATACTGCATTCATTACTATTATTCAAGTTTCATTAAAATATTCGTAACCGTTTCTTTCTGTAGCGGCTTGTAAAACTATTCTCAATAATAATAAGGCTGAAGACATTGTTATAAATATACACATTGTTTACTCTAATAAAACGAAGTGTTTCCAACTAGTATAATGGTGCTTAAATGGTTTGTACATTACTACGATGCTTGAATGGCTTCGAAGAGCTTATGTTGGTAGCGAAGAAGAACTTAGAAAATTATAGAGGTTGGAAATCTCTACTTTCAAGGATCAACTTAAAAATAGCCCTACAACTTTCTCAGGAGTTTTTTTAGTAGCTGTGCATAGATTTGGGCGCGGCACACCTAGCCGTTTTTGGTGTAGGCTTCGGTGCTGGAATGGCTTCGAAGAGAAACTTGGCCAGTAGCAATGAAAAACTGATAAAATCTTCCTTCTCTTTCAAGAATCAACATAAAATAGTCCTATGACCTGCGCAGTAGCATTTTAGTATGTTTACCTAGGTTTGAATGGCCGTTGTTTCTATAGGCTTGTCAAACAAGAATATTATGAATAATAAAAATAATAATATGAAGAACAAATTGTTTGCTGTTACCAGTATAGTAGCAACCTTAGCCATTGAGATGAAAGGTCTTGAGTGTTGTTAAAATTTTTGTAAAATTCCTGGGCGAACAATATTATGAACCATTATCGTGGTTCATGATATTAACGTTTGTTGATTGTTTCTAATATAAACATATTGTTTTCAGGGTTACCGCCGATCAAGGCTCCAGTTGGCCAAGCACCGATGCCAAACCTGAGAAATGTGAAATCTAAGATCGGGTCTCTGGATAATATTAAATATAAACCCTCTGGAGGAGAGAAAAAGGTATGAAGTGAGATAGTGATTGATATTTATATATTAACGTTATAGAGAAATATGTTTTTATTTTTTCACAATTGTCAGGAAATCTGAAGAAGGACACATCCGAAAACTGTGACTGAGAACTTGCGAGTAAAATAACCAAAAAAAGAAATAATTTTTACTTTTTTCACTCGGAAATATCATCAGTCAATGATTATTTTATTCGTTTATAAAACTGTGGCATTTTTTTGAATAAGTGGGATAAAACAAACTAAGAAATGAAGTAGGTAAATCTACACTATAGACATATCAAAGTTTGCGAATCAAACGAGTGTTAGAATATCATTTTAAACCAATCTTAATTATAACAACATTTTACTTGAAAAGATGTCGGCTTGAATATTTGCAATTTTGCTTTTTTTTTCAGATATTTCCATAAATCTACTTAAGGGCTGTCTAGCCGTCTCTAATTTTGGACTAATTTATTAGAAAGGAGGTTTTGTTTGGCTGTAGTTAAGCACTAAGTTATATACTGATCTCGTTTTCATTCTTTCTAGATTGTAATTTCAATAAGTAGAAGGTTAAAAATTATTATTTAAATAAGAGTATGTGTATGTACTATCGTAACGAGATGTACCTATAAAATGATATAATTTTTGAAATACTATTCATGAAGCCACATTTTGTGCACAAACATGTGCAGGAAACGTAAGAAGTGTTGTAACTGATATGATGATTATTCTTGAAAAGCAACTGTTAACAAAGAAGTTGGAATGGGTCGCTGCTCCGAGGGTTGGATCATTGGAAAACACAACGTACAAACCTGGCGGTGGAGTGAAGAAGATAACAACTCAGAAACTAGAATGGAAGGTGGAACCCAAAGTAGGAGATAAGAATATTGGTTATACCCCAGGAGGTGGGCAAGTTAAGGTACGTATTAGACAAAGCTCGTGTTAAGCCTGAAGGATGAGCAAAGTAAGTTGTATCTCAAATTTTAATCACAGTGTCTGGTTATATATTTAAAATAAAGGTTATAAGTAAAAACATTACTTGGTCTCCTTGAGAATTATTTAATTAGGTTCATATATATAAGATCCCGTGTTAATCCTAGCAATATGCTTCTTAACAGTAGAAACAGAAACATTGAATAACGTCAGAGAAAGCTCATGTACAGATTATTTAAGTTGTTTACAATTTCTAAATGATGTAAGTTAATATAGTTTTTTTCTGCTGGTGAAATTAAAACTGATATCAAGGACACTCTAATATCCACTTCTACTTGCAGATAGTTATATATATATATATATATATAGGCTTTTAAGTCCAGTTAGCATAGCTTAAGGGACTTGCCTATTTCCATCTGTTGCCCATGAAGTGAAGAATTGCAGATTGAGGCCTGGGGACTAATTAGAAACAGATGCTCAGCAGGACAGAAGTGTAGGTCTAAATCCCGGTAGATCCCATTTATTTCTTCAGGAAGATAGATACACACTATAAACATTCCTACTTGAGTTAATGGTTATAATCTCAACTACTATAGAGAAGATAAGTATGATAATATGGGTACTTAGTTGATTATTTATAACAGGAAATTAAGCACGACTTCAAGTCTGGCCTTTCAAGTTCCACTAAGCCTAAATTCCCAATTTTATTTCACAAATAGCATAGGAATTTTTTATTTGTTCTATGTTAAGAGTCTGTACCTAAGTATGAAAAAACATAGGTAAAACTAAATCAATAGGTATACGTGAAATTTGAGAGTAAATGATAAATCTGGTTCTAGGAAAACTATAAATGTTAGTTTCTTGTTTAAGATATTTTATAAGCCTATTCATCATGTATTAATTCTCAATATCTGGAATGTTTGGAAGAAAGTGAAAAAATGAATATTTAAGACACTAAACATGCTGCTTAACCTGAAATTGTACGTTAACATGTCTCGTATTGAATACGTCAAAAGCTAGAGATCATTAAACTTATCTTTCAGTTATTCTAATAAGATTTGGATGAGCTAAGATAAAAGTTACAAAATATTATTTTCCCACGGACCGATAGAAAACTACATAAATTAATTTGCCTCGCTCAGTTGAATAGATAAAGAATTAATTGAAAACGAAACAAAAATGGCGCTTAAAGGACTTGTCTTTTTCTAAAATAACCAAATTAATAAAGTCAAAAGAAACTTGATGCTCGTTTTGCTAAATATTCTTCAAACATTTAATCTATTTCGCTTTACAACTAATTAAGCATTAAATAAAAATAAAACTTGTACATTTTAATTTAACATAATATGGTACATGTATTACAAAAATAAAGCCATATTCCACAATCTGGCTAGAATACCTACATTGTTCAAACTGGAACTGTTAATAAACGATTAAAACAACAACAATTAGCCAGTTGTCTTAATAAGTATACTTTGTAGACATATAAAATAAAACAAAATAAATATTTCTTAAATTATCGAAATACAAAACATGTTAATGTACTTTCGTGAAACTGATAACACAAACATGAAAAATAAAAATTTTACTGTACAATCGTTCAATCAGAAATCTTGCGTGCGTCCGACCATTCAATGTTATAACAACGTTTTACTGTAGATCAAACAGGGTTAACCTATTTCCCAGCAGTTTAAACAACCAGATGGCACTACGATCCATAAAACGAAAATGTCTACGCTAAATAATTTAACAATTTCTTGGTTTATATTATAAATATGTGTGTGAAGTTGTCGTATTTTACCGGATGGCCCAGGGACTAAAAGGTCCTAATATCTATAACTATATATCTAAAATAAATTGAAAAATATTGCAGAACTAAAAACTATTTCAGGGCAAGTGTGACACTACATATTATAGAAACATAAACGGCTAGAGTTTAGTACAGCTTTTCAATTTCTTCGTGTTATTATGGCTGAACGTGTGCTATTATATATAGACAAATGTTGATTTACTTAGATACTATTAAAAACTGAGCAAAAACGAAAATGTTTTCATATAGACCATTAAGGACCCCAAACGTGGAAACAATTTCTGGTTTGGTACTTTTTTTTGCTGAGTGTGCTTATGTGTACAAAATTTGAAAACACGTGTATGTAAATTCAAAAGTAGAAGAGGTTAGAGGTCTTTGCTAAAAGACGGCGCATTAGTTAAAATATTTTAAGGGTCTAATATCTTTAGCTAGTGATTTACAGCAGACCAACCGAGGCCTAATGATTGTTTTAAGTGGGGTATATCACCATTAAACATTACTTTTTAAAACAAATATTCTGTAGGTTTTTAAAGTAATTTTAAACATCTTTTTGGTTTTGTTTCCACCTTCGAAGAGACAAAACACACATATTTAACATAAACATTGATATATATATATATATATATATATATACTGTTTAAAAATATGCAACTTTAATTTATATAAAGAGTGGTGCTGTATTGTCTACATCTACAGTGCCATCTTTTTCTTGTGCATAAACTATAAAACGCACTCATAGAAATTGTGATATAATGTTCTAAAATATTGCTTTGACCCCTGTTTCAAGCCAGTTGAACTAATACGAACTTAACAGAACCAGTATTTATCTATATTAAAGCACAAAGCGATTTCTAATCAGTTATAAACCAAATTGTCTATCAATGTAACAAGCAAAAGTAATGTGTTTCTAATAATATTATTAGGTAAAGTAATATATTTCTCAGTGTACAGTACATTTATTAGATCTTTCTGTACTAAGAGAATGAAACCAGACAAACATATAGTTTTTCTTTTCTTTTGTTAAACCCCCCTTACTTACTACCTTAATCACTTTTCAGTTAATTTACTCTCACAATCTTATGTTCAGATATTGAAGCCATATTGGACTAACTAATATATTTGTTTGTTTACTTTAATTCCGCGCAAAGATATTTGAGGGCTAGCTGAGCAAGCCGTCTGTAATTTTGAATTGATAGAATAGAAACAAAGCAGCTAGTCAACACCACCCATCACCAACTCTTTACCAATGAATAGTGGTACTGACCATCACATTTTACCACCACCCCGCAGATTAGAACTCTAGCGACCTAACCACCAGGCCATTCCACGTCTAATCAATATGAAGAACCCTTTTTGAAAATATGTATAACCTTTCGTCGTTGCTGCAAGACAGGGTAGTTGCTAAAAATTCCCAGTTAGCAAAGTTATTGTCTGTTTGCTTGTTTTGAATTTCGCGCAAAGCTACACGAGGGCTATCTGCGCTAGCCGTCCCTAATTTAG